GATCCAGGATTTTAAGTTTATGGGTTCCTGTCGCAATTTCAAATTAATATACGATAATAACTGGGTTCACAAATAGATATTTAATAATTTTTTTAACAAAAATACAGGGTCTATGCAAAAGTTACTGGGTTCCCGGGAACCCGTATCTTACACCCTAGATCCGCCCCTGGAGGTGGGGCGGGGTGTGGGGTGAGTTGGTGGGGGTTGGTGGGAATCGGGATTGGAAGGAAGGTTGGAAAGAGTTTTGAAAAATGTTTTCTGTTCTCTTAATAGCCAATTGTAGAAAAATGAATTCGCGAGGAAAATATTTTTTAAAATATTTAAAGTAATCAAATATGAAAAAATTAAAAAGTATTTTTTGAAAAATATTTTCCTTTGTACCAAACACACCCTTAAATTGGAAAATAAGACATTAGGACGGACTTCTCCCAATTTATTTCTCGGAATTCGTATCTTTAAGAAATCCCAAGTGGTTGAAATAAAAGAAAAAAAGAAATCCTAAGTGCTCATGAAAATCAGAAACATCAAAAGTAGGCGGATCAACGTGAGAAAAATTAGTACCAAAAATAGACAACAAAAATAAGACTCAGAAAATTTGAGGGAAATGAATCGAAGAAATCCGCTCCTATGGTTGGTTTCTACTTTCTATGATTTAACAACTCTCGTTTTTTTTTCCACAACTAAGATCTTTAAAATTACCTAACTCTTGTGTCTTAATTAAATATAATAGTGTAAAAAGTGTTTAGTTTTGCCCAAAAGATTAAAATTGTTCAGGTAAATATTTAAAAGGGCTATTTTAAATTAGAACTCAAACATAAGGGACTATTTTTGCTATTTTTTCGCAACTATCGTTGAGGCCTTTTCAAGAATTTACAACATATTTTATGGTTGCAAAAATGACAAGATTAAATTTGTTATGGAATGAATTGTGTCTTTTACCTTAATCATGACACCTTTTTTTCTAATAGAGACATGGTGTGTTAACGTATACGTAAATTTTGGAAAAGTCGCATTCCTTTAACATTTTAAATTATTTTTGGAAAATGGTCACGTCCAAGGTATATTGCTTATTTCACTCTTTTAAAATATCGATGCCTGTTATTAGAATAAGTATCGAAACTTTTTTTTTTAAATGTTTTTTTACTGGTATTTCAACACTTTGGATTTTATGGACAGAAGCTTTTCGGCCGACAAATTTTCCTTCATTTTCTCCCACAAAATTTGAATGTCATCTCATTTTTGATAATATATACAAAATAGAACTTGTATTTTTCGGAAAAGGAATAATTTCATTACAATATTAGAAATGATTGAAAATATGTAGGTATATTCGGGACGGATTGGATTCTTAGCACCAAATAATGGTTCTTTTTCCCTCTCAAAAATACATGTCATTTATAGATGAGATTTACCGCTTAAGAAGACAAAAGTATGGGTCATCTTCCTACATGTAGTTTATTTTTTAATTAAAACTAAAGCTAAAATTAAAGAGGTTTCACTTTTAGACTGCTTTACATGTTATGATGTATTACATGGCCTCCTAAAAAGATTATAGTGTATAAGATGCACATTTCCTATATGTTTGAGCAAAAAAGTGTTAAACCTTTTAGCTATACCAATTAAAGATAAATTAAAGGGTGAATCTTAATTGAGTTTAATAAATTCTAGATCAAATAAAATAGAATATCCGTTGAGTAGCGCTTAAGAGTATTAAATAATGGATTTAATGCTCTATAATTAACAATAAATATGATAGCATGAATATGTAATAAATGCAAATAATGGCAATGAATATAACAAGAAAAGATCTACCACCCAATTATTATATGATTGGGATGTTCCTTCCTCTGTCAACGATGTGGAAAAGTGAGAAGTCCAGATGGATGTGGAATCTTTGGATCTATGGATAAAGATTGAACAACGTGTGCTTAAATAATATTATCAATGAACTAGACAACTTTTGAATATTCTCCTTTCACATCCTTTACAATGTATTCTTATCAGAGAGTCAAGAAGAAGGTCCCTTTTTGTCTCCTACCTCTTCCTATTTATAAGGGATATTCCCCAAAAACCCTAAAAAGTACATCATAAAGAATATCCAAATGGACCTATGCTACCGTTATTTTTCTCACCTGGGCTGCCTACTCCTGGCACCAGCCTGTGAAAGCAACCTTCAATCATTATATCATGGTCGACCTCGTCCTTTGTCTTATTTATTCGTTACCGCCGAGTCGCCAAATTTAGACCTATATAGTTAGTGTTAGTCCCTCCGCTTGTTGAGGTCGTGGCCTTGCACGCCCTCGATGAGCGAACATGATTTGCCTTTGTTTCGGGAGAATTTGGCTGTTGCATAAGCCGGGTCGACAAAGGTCGAGGGAGTGACATAACCAGTGGAGTCATGATTGGTGTGGTTGCCGCGGGGTGACGTCATAGCCACGTGCATCATCATTACGCAGCTTCCCGAGACAGCATCTGCATTCCAGTCGCTTTGGTTCTGATGCCATTGACTCTTTTGCTTCGATTCTCGCGCCATTCAACCCTATAAATAGATGGAGGTTTTGTTTTTCAGAAGTTTCCACCATCTCTTTCCTTGTATGAACAATGTTCTCTTTCGATCTTCTTGCCAGCTTCTGCTCTTGATTTTGCTCTCACAATTCCATATCTCTCATTCTTACCTGAGTCGTTACCTCCTTCTTCAGGTTTAGTAGCATACTTTTTATTGTCGTCATGTCACACACCCTTCGTATTCACGAAGAAATTTCTGATGCCACTCAGTTATCGGTGGCTCCTCCTTTCAGCGGCGAGGATTTCGTGGTTGAAGAGGATGAGAGCTTTCCCACCGTAGAGGAGATAATTCCCAGAAACCCCTTGTCTAGAAGCAATTTCCAGAAGGAACCTGCTCCCGCTCCCGTTCAGGTGATCTCTGAGACCGGGCCGTCTCATATAGCTGAGCTCCGATCTACATATCATATCCCTCCTCACATCGAGATAGTTCCGGCTGGTGGCGACATCGTGGAGGTCCATCGACCTGGGTACTGTGCCTTTTACGTCTACCCTTTCTTAATTGGTTATACTCTCCCTCTTCTCCCCCTGGCAGAGGAATTCTGCCGATTTTACAACGCCCGGCGCAGTTATCCCCATATTTGTATAAAGCTTTTCTGATGCTGACGAAGTATGCGGAATTGGCCGGTTGCGAGGTCGACATCTGCCATCTACTACACTTGTTTTCGCCGAGTTTTTACTGAGGCACTATGATACATCTGCGACATCGCGGGACCAGAGGGCTGATAGTTGGAATGGACGACAGGACGAATCAGAGGTTTTGGCACAAATACTTCTTTATCAAAACCGAACACTTGGTATCAGACCCTGCTGGATTTCCCGAGCAGTGGAACCATAATCGTAGGTGTTGTTGGCATACACTTGTTGTCTTCTTTTTGTCTCTTCGTTTTTCATTCATTTGTGGTTTCTTTGTGTTATTTTTTTAGCTGAGAGGCGTGCACCCTTTCCCGTCGTCGGCATTGAAGGCTAGGTGGCTCGCGTGTTACCTCACATGGGGCGGGTATTCGAGATTGGGCGTTTTTCTACAAACGTTTTGGACCGAAGGTCCCGTCAAGTAAGTGTTACTTTTGTTTCGGCCTTCCGTTGTTTACCGTTATTTGTTGATACGACCTCCTTATGGTGACAGGTCGACGTACTTCAAAAAAGAAGGCTCCAGTGCCGGCGTTTCTCCAGGTTCTCTTTGGCGAGCGGTGGGGGTGAAAACAATTATGCCTTGAGTTCCCTCAAGGCCTCGATGCATTCTGAATTCCACTGGATCCCGTTATCTTTTTTTGGCACGTTGAAGAATTGTGGCACCTGTCGGATGACCGTGAGATGAACCTTGATAGGGCGGCTATATGGCCGGTCAGCTTTTGCACTTGTTTCTTGCTGGTTAACACATCAGGTATCCCTTCAATGGCTTTAATTTGATCTGGGTTGACATCGATGCCTCTTTGTGACACCAAGAAACCGAGGAATTTGCCTGAGGTTACGCCGAAAGGCACATTTTTCGGGGTTTAATTTTATGTCGTACTGCCTTAATATACTGAAGGCTTTTTTAAGTGGTCGATGTGGTCTTCTTTCCTTTTTGATTTGACCAACATGTCGTCGATGTAAACTTTCATTGTTTTGCCGAGTTGATCCTAGTACGTCTACTGATGGGTGATGAAAGTAGTTTTTTCTTGGTCCTCCTCCTCCATGAGGATTTGGTTGTAACCTGAGTAGGCGTCCAAGAAACTTAACAATTCGTGTCCCGCAATTGCGTCGATGAGCTGGTCGATGTGAGGTAATGGGAATGAGTCCTTCGGGCAGGCCTTGTTCAGGTATGTGAAATCCACGCACATCCGCCATTTTCCTTTTTTCTTTTTTACCATGACCACATTGGCGACCCATTGGGGGTATTTTGATTCCCGTATGGAACCGTTAGCAAGTAACTTATCCACTTCATCGCTGACGGCCTTGTTGATTGGTGCATTGAATTTTCTTCTTATTTGCCGCACTAGTGGGTAGAGCAGGTCGACATTCAACTTGTGTGTGGCAATGTCCTTCGGGATACCCGACATATCTGCATGGGGGAAGGCGAACAAATCGTCATTGTCAATTAAAAATTTATGAAATTTACCTGGTTCTGAAAGTTTATGTCCGATGTAAGCCTTTTTGTTGCTGACGCTGCTGTCCAATTGGATGGGGTCGAGGTCTTCTACCATTGACTCAACAGCTTCCACGATGTAGGGGTCCTTGATGACGTCTATTTGTACGTCGAGTCCGGTCCCCGACTTTGGTTATTGCTATGCTTCTGAGTTTGTTCCCTTTAGCTGTTGTGTGTACGTGCAGTCTTAGGCGATACGATAGCATTCTTGGGCGGTATGTTGTTCGCCTCGGATGCTGAATATCCCCCATGGGATAAGGAACTTGATCACTTGATATAAACTTGATGGGATGGCCCTCATGGCGTGTATCTAGGGCTGCCCTATGATGGCATTGTAAGCCGTGTCTTGGTTCATGACATGGAATGTTGTTTCTAGGGTGACGCCCCCGGCCAGAACAGGTAGAGTTATCTCCCCAGAGGTTCGCTCAACTGCATTGTTAAAACCTGTTAGTGTTATGCAACATGGTTCTATCTTTTCTTCGAGTCTCATTTGCGTGAGAACTCGAGGGTGGATAATACACGCGCCGCTTCCGTCGTCTACCAATATTTTTTTCACATCAATATCTGAAATACGTAAAGTAATAATAAGAGCATCGAAATGAGGGAAAACCAAACCGTCGGTATCTGACTTATCAAAGATGATACTGTCTCTGAGGTCGTCGTACCGTTTGTGGGTGATCGATCGCTTCAATTTGTGTGTGTTGGTGAACTTCACATGGTTGATCGCTGCTTCATCACCTCCGCTGATGATCATTTGGATGGTGCAGGTAGGGGATGGTGTCTTTGGAGGGCCTTGGTGTTGTTCGCGTCCCCGACCGAAGTTGGCTCGTCCACAGTCGCTCATTAGCTCCCTTAGGTGACCTTGGCTCAACATGTTTACTAACTCTTGCCGTAGAGCTATGCATTCCTCGGTTTTATGACCCCGCTCCTGGTGAAATTCACATAGGATGTTCGACTTTCGTGTACTCGGGTCGGACTTTATCTTTTGTAGCCACTTCAAATTTGTCCCGAGCTTTTCTAGTGCGTACACTATTTCTGAAGGGGAAACACAAAAATTGTGAGCAGATAAGAGTGGAGGCATACCTCATTCGTTTCGCTGATTCACTGTATGTGGTATGGACGACCCTTCCGCAAGTCGAGGAGACGATGGGATGGCTGTTCTGACGTAGGGTTGGTGTCTTTCTCGGTTAAGACGGGGTCCTGACTGATCTCTTCGACCGTCGTTACGACGATCTTTTCTCGACTCTGTTTGAACTGACGTCAACCATTAGGTCAGACCGTTAAGGTCATCCTCACCGGCTCTTACCTCGGCACAATAGGCATTGTGGATTTCTTCCCAAGTGGTGGGAGGGTATTTCATGAGCTTGCTTAATAACTTTCCGTTTGCTCTCGATCTGTTCCTCTTTAATACGTTCTGGAAAGCTGCTACCGCCATCCCTTCTGATACATTAGGTAGGCTCATTCTCACCCTGTTAAACCGGGCGAGGAAGTCCCTGAGTCCCTCGCCAGGGGATTGCCTAACGGTGAATATATCGTTTACCCTGGCCTCCGCCTTTTTAGCCCCAGCATGGGCGATGATGAACTTGTCGGCCATTTCCTCGAACGTCGTTATTGACCGTGCCGGCAATTGTGAATACCAGGTTAAGGCTCTCCCCTTAAGGTTTTGCCGAACTTTTTTAGTAACACTAATGGTACTTGCTACCTCGAAAGATCGTTGCCCTTCACCGCTGTGATGTAATGGATGATGTGATCTTCGGGGTCTGTAGTACCATCGTATATCTTCAAGTACGGTGGCATTTTGAAGTTCTTGGGAATGGCATGTGGAGCCGCTTCCTCGTTGTAGGGTTGTTCGACGAATCGGCCAACGTCTCGTTTTGGTAGCAATTTTGGGGCGCCCGGTATTTTGTCGACCCTTTCTTGGTGCTCCCTCATCTGGTCGCGAAGTGCCTTGTTTTTGTTTTCCATTTCTTCCATTTTCTTCAAAATGGCTGTCAGTGCGTCGCTACCTGCATCAATAGTGGTGTAAGTGTTACCTGTTTGGGGGGCGGACTGTTCGCCAGCGATCATTGTGGTATCTGCTTGTGCGGTGTTTCTATTCTCCCTTTGAATGGGTTTGTCGAGTATGTTGTTCAGAGTACTCGTCAGCCATTCATCCAATAATATTCTTACTGCTAGCGGTGCTTCCTCAACCGTGGATGTTGACGCTCCTCTTTTGCATGAAGCGGTTACTCTTTCATGAGGAGGGGGTGAGTCACTCCGTCTGAGCGTAGCGTCTGGTGTCACATTCTCGTTGTTTTCCCTGTCATCCTCATTGATGGTGTTCAAAATGTTAGTGGTGACACCTGCTATTGCTTTTTGTCTTGACTCTCCTTTTCCCGCCATCGTTAGTTTGTACAAACGAAGAGCAGATGTCTGTCTGTTTTACGATCTAGAAAGAACTAAAATTTCAACTAAAACCTCCCCACAGACGGCGCCAAATTGTTTGAGCAAAAAAGTGCTAAACCTTTTAGCTATACCAATTAAAGATGAATTAAATGGTGAATCTTAGTTGAGTTTAATAAATTCTAGATCAAATAAAGTAGAATATCCGTGAGAAGAGTAGCGCTTAAGAGTATTAAATAATGGATTTAATGCTCTATGATTAACAATAAATATGATAGCATGAATATGTAATAAATGCAAATAATGACAATGAATATAACAAGAAAAGATCTACCACCCAATTATTATATGATTGGGATGTTCCTTTTCTCTGTCAACGATATGGAAAAGTGAGAAGTCCAGATGGACGTGGAATCTTTCATTCTATGGATAAAGATTGAACAACGTGTACTTCAATAATTTTATCAATGAGCAAGATAACTTTTGGATATTCTCCTTTGATAGCCTTTACAATGTATTCTTATGAGAGAGTCAAGAAAAATGTCCCTTTTTGTCTCCTATCTCTTCCTATTTATAAGAGATATTCCCCAAAACCCCAAAAAGTACAACATAAAGAATATCCAAAGGAATATTCTTTATGTCTACAAATGGACCTATGCTACCGTTATTTTCTCACCTCGGCTGCCTACTTTTGGCACCGGCCCGTGAAAGCAACCTTCAATCATTATATCATGGTCGACCCCGTCCTTTGTTTTATTTATCCGTTACCGTCGAGTCACCAAATTTAGACCTATACACTATATAGTTAGGTATCAAAAATATAATGTCTTGTTCTTTGTCTAAAATATAATCTGCAATTTTTCCTCTATAAAAAAAAGGAAGAAACACACATATAGTTGATTACATAATTACATCTCGTCTTCTATTTCTTTTGCTATCAATTTTTTTTTCTCCATAAAATGATTAAGTTTGTAGTTGATTGGCAAATATTTTTGGGAAAATCCCAATTTTATATTGTTGAAATTTTCAATCGTCCTTCGCCTTGGTTTTTTCAATATATTTGGCTGAGAAGGAAGAGGATGGTTCATAATTGAAACTGCTGTTAGGGATCGATTAAATTCGTATTAGCTCCTAAAAGTCTAACATTGAAGGATAAATTATTCCCAGTAATTCCATGCTATGAGAAATGATGGTCATAGGGATTTAGTGTTGATGACACGTTATAATATTATTAATTAAATTGATTGACTCAAGCCACAATATATATAGGACGGTTATTATTGCAATAAGTTGAGGACGGCAACTACAAAGGAATTGGCTCCTCTAAAGTTGGAATAGGGAAAAAGAGAGACAGAAGGCAAAAAGAGGAGTACCATGAAAATAAAGAATTAAAAGTGTCGTTTTCTTTGACTATCTGCCACCGACCACCGACCTCACCCCGGCGTTTTGCCATCAATGCACCCCCGCTCGTTCGGCCTTTTGTTCTTTTCTTTGTTGGGCCCTTTGCTTTTTGTATAATATATAATATTTTCCTACGCTTTTGTGTTATTTATAAAGAGAAAATTTCACTTTATACCCATTAAATTCAAACTATTTACCCTTAAATATCCATACCTAAACTATTTATTTTTCCTACCTATGCAATCAATATTATTTACCCGCCCAAATGGTTTCCTTATTTAATGTATGTAAAAACTCCTAAAATTTAGAATTTTGAATGCAAACAAAGAATTTGCTATTTTTTCTCTCCTGACATTAAGAACACGATTTTTCTTCTTTTAAATCTTTTGTCTACTTCTTTTTTCGTTAGAGAGTGTTAGTAATAAATTTAACGAAATTATGTTAGAATAATTTTACAAGTTAAAGATATATACAATTAAAGTAATAAATATGTATTCCATGTTGGATATAATGAAGTTATGGATAATATTTCAAATATTTAATATCACAGTTAATTTTTAAATTTTGAATGTGCTAATATCTTGAACTCTGAGTTCAACTATAAACAGTTGAACTTCTATTGGTGATAGAGTAAAAAACTCTTTACACTAACTAAAAGAAAAGATAACTATACATAAGTATTCGTGCATAAGAATCCATATAAGTAATTCGGAAAATAGGCAAGTAATATGCTACTAATGTATACTTTTAAGTTGGGAAAATCAAAATATACCTGATCTCGGACAATATACTGATTAAACATTGAACGTGGAGTTTCTGATGTATAAATATTGTAGAAGCCATGATGCACCAAACAAAGGTGTTCAATATGTGTTATATAACTCTAAACGTAATATTTTACCTAAATACACATTGTAATTTTTCGACGAAAGGTGGTCAATTGACCACCCATATGACCATGTGGCTTCGCCACTATCCAACCTCATATATTGTCTATATTTTGTAAACCTTGCAGTATAGTCAATCTAGAGCATTGATTGACTGACTGGTAATGCTTTAATAGTTTGTTAATCAATCATTTGTAGAATATTCTGTGAATTTGAGTCACTATCTGTTAATGTTATGTGAAATTGAAGTCACATTGACCACTCTTTCTCCTCAGCAGCCAGCACACAAAAAGATTATCCTTTCTGCCACGCTATTGAAGTCCCGCATTAAACAGGTGCCAATTAAAGGATCTAAGATATGGATTTCAATACCACGAACCTTGAAGCTTGAAACTCATAACTTGGTTTGTTTGAGTTTTTAATTGTTTTGATCTGATCCTATATGGATTAGTTTGGAAAGTTGATTGGAGGTTGTAGCTAAAGTTTCAGTCAATTTGGTGGAGATTTTGTAGTAAATTTTAGAAATTTGGGTTGAAATATAGTTGAACCAGAGAAGAAGACGAATTTGCATTGTATACCCAAATAGTATACAAATATACCATTTTAGTATACAATTCATTCCAACTATATACCCTATTAGTATAGCTATATACTATATTGGTATCATATGCTAGTTGAATTATTTTTTTGATTGTATTAGCTGCATTTAAATGGTACAATATTTGATTTTCTTTTAATAATAGTAATATAGTACAATATCTTGATATACCTTATTATATTAATATGTGGTACACTATTTTTTTATTTTTCTCTTTATGCATGTGTGTTATGTAATAGTAGTATAGTCATATAGTTGCCGGGAATTAACTAGTAAAACTGTATACCATGTTGGTATAGTTATATACCATATTGGTATCATATGGTAGTTTGAACATTGTTTTGGTTGTTTTAGCTGCATTTTAAGCGAATTCTATTATGAAATTATTTATATCAACATGAGTTGCAATAATGCTGGAATTTTTGTGTGCCGATGGACATAAATTGTGTGTATTAATAGTTTTTATAGTTAAAGGCAATTGTTGGAACGACCCCATACAACTATATACCTTCCTAGTATACGAAATGAGCAAGTTGTTTTGCGAATATTTAGCTTGCAATACGAGCATGTAATTTTCTCATACTTTTATTGCGTCCTTTAATGTTTTGGTAGAGTAGTATAGTCGCAGATAGTTGTAGAAATCATATGCTCTGTTGGTATACATATATACCATATTGGTATTACATGGTACTAGAAGTCTTTTTCGCTACTTATACTTTCGTTGTATTTTTTAATGTTTTATTATCATTTTTATTCTAACTAGTATATATGGATATTTGGTTGCCGTAGATTATGTTTTCTTGCTCTATAACTGGTTGTATTACTGCTAATGGTAGAGTGTGTATTGATATTTATAGGGAAGGAGATCAAGGTTTGCATGGCAACCACGTGTTGATTCTTAGAATTTGATTATGTAATTTATGGTGCTCAACAGCAGTCAATGTGATATCCAGTGTATTAGATCAAGTGACAACTGATATTATTTCAGTTTGTAATTGAATTTAAAAAATGAGAAAAAAGGGTATATTGTACTAGTTATATTAAAAAAAGGTGAACAAATATTTACTATATCAATTATTTTTCTTATTGTATAAAAAAAGAATAATAAAAAATAGTGAAAATGGTAAATGAAATTAGATTATGAAGAGAAAAAGAATATAAAAAAACAAGAAGTTAAATGAAATTAGAAAAGGAAAAAATAAAAAAATAAAAAGAATACGAGAAAAAAGAAAAGCAGAAAAGAAAAAAAAAGAAAAAAAAGAAGAAAAGAAGCATAGAAGTAAAAAAAAAAAATGGAGAATAAAGAAAAAATTCCCCACAAAACTA